AGCACTCTGGGCAACTACAACATTTGTTCACTTTTTTTGAGTCTATGCACTTATTGGGAAATCATGACTGACATGAGGCAGAGGCTTTTACAGTTCAATCATTAGCCATATAAACTTTCCTTGGACCAGCAAGAAACTAAAAAAGCATTTTCTCATAGACTCGTCCAGTTATACCATAGGTGACAGAGCAATGGAAAAAATGTGGCTTTTGTAAAAGCTACAAAAAGGGATTCCACATCAGACTGAAAAATAGAGACTTCAGGCCCATTACAACCTCACACAACCTTGGGAAATGGGTTAGCATTAACACATATGTAGTTTAGTATGTTAGAAAGAGATGCGGAAAAAGTAAAGGGGGAGATGACAAAACTGCCGTCTGTTCTGCTCTCTGTGATCACATCAGCTGATTCACAGTGTCGTCGTTCTCATTTACACATTTCTCTGTTTCTGTTGCCGCGTGAAATATTAAACTGTTTACCAGCAAGTCAAGGTGGTGATCTACATTGTCACTACATCATCTGGCAAACTAAAAAACATACAGGTCAATGACAGCAGCTGTGCTGTTAGACAGGCTATGGTGATATTTAAAATGAGAGATGACAGAGAAGGTTAGAGTCACACGTGGTTCAAGGAGCCCTGTTCAGGTACAGCAACAAACGATCTAAACAAGCTGCATTTTACTCAGTATGCCAGAAAAAATAAGGGGAAAACGGGCAGAACAACTCTGAACTGTATTAGAAGTGTAGCTGATACATTCAAACAGTGAAGGAGTCATGAATAAGAAGCTCTCCAGAGCTGATGTGTTAGGAACATACATACTTGTGTGGGTTTATCACATCACACAGTAATTTAATCCACTGTTAATATAAAAATTAACCAGAGGCCAGAGGGGGAAAGGCAGCCCATGAAATTCTCCAGAAAACAACAAGGACCTGAGAAGGCGATTAGCTGAGTGAGAACAGAAAAAACCAAAACACACAAGACCAGGAGAGACACTGTGTCGGGCAATCTGATGTTAATGCACTAACTTGTTAACCAGACAAATGAAAAGGTTTTTGTCAGTCATGTGGGTTTTGATATTTTATCTATTCAGCTATTTCTGTTCAAGCTAACTATCCAGTTTCTACAGTTGCCAGAAACATAACTTTCCAGAAAAAGACAAACATTAATTATTATTTAATATGCAAACACAGTATGTCACTATGCAATTATTGTTTTACATTCATCACTGATGAGTGATTTCAGTGGCTGTACAATGTGTGCAGACCACCTCCAACCACTGACATACAGTATATGCAGTGGACAGTCATCACCACTTCCCTCCACTATGCAAAAATGAAGCCAGCATATCGTGAATACAACAGCTGCCATCGTTCTTTTTTGCAACATGGAGGGGGCGGGATTTATGGCCTATACTACAACCACTCACCAGGGGGTGACTGGGGTGTGGAGCTTCCACCACTGGAAGCTGTGATGACGTCCATATTTGTACAGTTGATGACTACAATCCTTCATTCGCACACCCCTCCAACAACTCAGGGGATGAGAGCCTTCATTTTAATAAAAGCTGCTGTGGCAATCCTGGAAGTGCACAGAGAGAGAATGGGTTTAGTGGAGTCTGGATAAACCTTAAGAATCTGGGTCACCTCCCATGATCCTCCACACACACACACACACACACACACACACACAAACCAAGTATCATTCACTATGAGCATGTACATCAGTTAATTTAGATTTTATAAGGAGGTAGCAGCTCATTCTGTCCACCACATCTCATCCTCCTACTGTCAACACTTTCACTCAGCTAATGGGACTGCATTTCCATGTCTCCATTAAGTCAACCCAGTACATAATGAGCTATGGGAATGAAATAGAACTATTCAGTGGTTTAGAGGACGACTGTCTACCATAGACTGTGCTTGTGTTCAGAGAGGAAGAATTAGTGAATGTGTCTATGTGGGTGCACATGATGCTAAATTTGCATGTGTCCTAAATGTGTGTACAGTGTAAATTAACCCAAGATGCACACAACTGATTGCAGTCCAATTAACAATCCATGTGTGAAGTCAACTACATTTAACAATGTAAGCCGTTTTAAACAACACATGACAACTTTGTTAACATAAATGAAATCTTAAATCTTAGCAGAGCGGTCTCTGTGATATGATTGGCTCTGTAGCCTGGCTGTGTTATACTTATGCTTTTTTCAGAGAAAGTGATTCAGACTTGCAGAAAAGTGTTGATTTGCTTGTGGCTTCTGGCTTGATTGCAACTAACATCAACCCACAGATGTGCAGCTGTTGCCTGCAGTAAGCTCATTGGCTGACTGAGGCAAAAGCAAAGGAAAAGATGATTACGGTGGGACACCTGCACTTAAAATAAAAGCACAAGAAGCAGATGCAGCTTGTGGTTAAATGAAGCTGTATATTTTAGTCTCTCTTTAAAATGAATACTAATTTTAGTAACACATAGTACTTCTACTGCAAAAACACAGAATGGGGTGATTCATTTTGAGAAATATTTGTCTATTAGCTTATCAGAGTCACTTCTGGTGACTGTCATCAGAGTTATAGACATGACTCAGTAATAAAGAGAGATCAACAATAAAGACATCTGTTTGTGGAGTCCTATGAGTTAACTTCCCTTGAAGGACTTGAAGGTTGACTGAGAAAGTGACAAGGCTTACACATCTCAAAATACTTCAAACAGCCCTGGTTTGATTAACTATGGATAGTAAGATTGTGGTAAGTGAAAAAGCCAAATCCAAGTTTCTAAATCTCCCTGCTCCCTTTGGTTAATTCTGTAGTTTATGGCTTTGATCATTTTGATGGAACTAAAATGAATTTGTGGTGATAGGTTCGGTGAAGGCGTACTGTAGATGACCCCATTTGGTTTGTTTGTATGTATAACTCTGATCAATGTTTTGTGTTGTAGAGGTGAGCAGGGATTAAAATAAAATTAAATAAAAAACACAGGAGACACAAACAGGCAACAAATGAAGTAACATCTGCATCATTTTCCCTCTTTCTTCTGTACAACCTTTTGTCTCATCTTCACTTTTCACTTTCTAAACACAGACTGAATACAGACACTTCATTTGATGTCAGATTTGAGAGGACAGTGAACACTGTGTGTGCAGATGTGCATGTGAATCTGAGAGAGACAGAAAGATCATGTGTGCAGGTGTGAGAGGCAAATCACTGTGGGTTAGAAAGAACAGAATGTGCCCTGAGAGCTCTTTCATCCTGAGGCATGTGCTGGCTTAAGGCAATTCTTCTTCCGACTGACTCTGGTGTATGATAGTCTGTGTGTGTGTGTGTATACTTACAATTGACTCCATAGGTGATGGCACATACTGTCAGTGTGAATATCACTCTGTGTGTGACCTATTTTTCAGTCATTTCACTGTTTTTGAATATTTTGTCAGTTGACACAGCAGCAATTTAAACTGGTTTAATGGCTACAGCTGAAAACACAGACACTTTTCTTCCGTTTGGTGTCTCTATTTCTCTCTTCTCCTTCTCTGCCTGGATTTTTATCTGCCCTACTCCTCCACCACGTGCCTGCCTTTTCCTGCAGTTTTTACCACTTTATGGTTGGATCAATTTTTCCTCTTGACTTTCTGTCTTTCACTATGAATTTCAGTTTTCCTTTAAAATAAAGTCACTGCCATATCTGTCATATATCTGTACACATACAAACTAACATGCTTACATAATGTTGTAATGTAGACTGAATGAAGAAGGAAGTCAGAGACAGAATTTGCTTTCTTGTGCATGACCATGTGCCCCATACACCACATGACCATCAATTGCTGGCGACTTCAGTTCTGCAAAATTTAAGACTGTTTTACCAAAATGCCACCAGCATGACAAGTTTGCTACAAGAGAAAATTGAACCTTGTTTACATCCAAGTTGTTGCTGTGATGTAAGAGAATGAATGTGAGTGGCTTTCTCTAAATGTCAGCCCTGTGATAGACTGGTGACCTGTTTCTTATTACTTGTGTTGGCATAAATGGGGGCCTACAATAAATTCATTTTAGCTGAATCCCAAGAGATAATGAGGTCTTCTACCATTCATTTCTCATGTATGACATTTTTTACTTATAAATGAATAAACAACACTTCTATTTGGGGCGATAATTATGAGTTTCCTCACATTGTCAGTAGCTGCCCAGACGCCATGCTGCCCTGTGGATATTCTAAATAGGTTTTAAAACAGCTGTCAGCCAGACAGAGGTGAAAAATGTGTCCAGACAAGAACTAAATTAGCTAATCTAATTTGGTGTATGCGTGTGTGCTTACATGTGTGTGCCTTGTCTGTGTACATTTGCTGCTGTGTATATTTGCCTGTTAGCCAATGTGTACTTGTATCTTGTTCTACACCCATCCCTGCACTTTGTGTGCGGTGATTGAGCCGTCACTTGGCGGATGCTGCCTGAGCATACAATAGTGTTCTAGCTAGCTAACCAGCAACTATAATTGAAATTAAAAGGTAACCACATTCATCATGCTGAGTCTGGGTTTAATTGAAATGTATTTGTTTGTGTGTGTGTGTGTGTGCATCTGACAGGGAGTGTGTTAGAGATACTGTGGAGAACAAAAGCCACAAAGTGAGAGATGGAGGGAGGCAAAGTTTTTGTCAATGTATATGAATATGTGTGTGAGAGTGTTGGAGAAGGAAAGTGAATGTGTAATGAGGCTGGGAAGCTAAGACTCAATATCTGCACCTGTCCTGGTGATAAATAACATGGGAGACAGATAGTATCCACAAATACTGTATCCTGCCTCCCCATCCACTGTCTCTGCTACACTTTCTTTCACTCTTCAGCTCAGCACAAAACCTTTCTCTTTCTGTCCCTATATATTTTCTCTTTCTTTTCTTATGCTCTAAATGTTTTTCAATGTTTTAAAGGAATATTTCAACACTTTGGAAAATATTCTTATCTGTCTCCTGATAGCAAAAAGGAAACAAGATATTGTTTAATAATGTGTGATATTATGGTATTTTCAGGAATATCTCCAATTTGCCCTCGCTGACGAGCTACATAACTAATCTGCAAACTGATATTAGAGCTTGTCTCTTGGTTAAGTAGCTTCTTCTAACAACAAGCTAATGTGCAGAACAAGGTGTATGTCTTTAACATGCACAAGAAAAAAAGCAAACAACCTTGTGTGGGCTGTTGTTGTTTAAAGTCTGCTGCAACTTTTCGTTCATTTAGCGGCTGCAACCTCTGATACAGTAGTGACATTACTGCGTTAGCTGGGATATGAGTTATTTAATTTCTGCAACACAGAGCCCAAAGATTTACATTATGCCCTGATTTGACTGAGGTTAAATTCACATTGCTACATGAGACCAGTGTTACAGTACATTTTAATATGATGCCATGACCAGTGATTCACATTAAGAGGAATTTACCATTGCTTCAGGCTAATACCAATACTGCTGATTTCCATCTAGTTAAGAATAAATAAGGAGAGAGAAGCAGCGCGGAGTGAGGAGGTGGGATGGTGCCCTTCACAAGGTCAGTTCACACAAATTAAAACATATTTTATCAGCCTAAGTGGAATCTAGCCCTACAGATTTACTCCTAAAAATGTTGTCCCTAAATTGGTTACTATAGGAGCTGTATATTATTCAGAATGTTGATTTTTTTTTAAATGTACATTTGCTGTAAATGATGTGAGCACTGCAAAGGTAGTCACCACTAGAGATAGTTAAAATATATGTTTTGTGAGTATCTTTAAAACCTTATACTTGATTTTATGACCTCCTACAGCTCTGTGATATAGTATCTAACAGTTATTGTATACTGTATAATAGACTAGTTTTACTTGCATCAACACAAAGTCACATTCAACTGCAGGAACTTGAGGATTTAAAGCACAGACTGCAACGTACTGAGTACTATATAGTGATGATCAATTTATCACTCACTGTCACCGTCTCCTGGCTCAGGGCTGCAGCTGCTCTGTGACAGGACGTCGTTCTCAACGTCATTGACCTTACTTTTACTTTCCAAGGCCTCCACTTCTGACAGCTGTCATTTAATTTACTGCTTTTCTTTTCAGAACCTTGCTATTATATAACCACGATTTTATGGGCTTTCACATGGAAAGAATACTACATACACACAGAAACACCCGACACTTCAGACAAGGTTAGCTCCCATATCATTCAATGAGACAGATAAATGGCTGAGATTAGAAAAACGCTTTTTGTACAAAGTTAAAGGGGAACTCCATCAATTTTATAGATCAATGCCAATGTCCTAGTAATGGTGTAATAGGAAGTACTACTTAGCCTGTAAACACTGTTCTAATAGTAATGTCCTCTGTGTCTCTGGGGAAGCACTGACAAGTCAAAGAAAATAACCCTGAGCAGAATCAATGTCACTCATCTCATCCTGGGCTTGAAGACTACATATTAATGACAGAAAGCCTGTTCTACAAACAAGAGGTTCAACAGACATGAATGATATATCATGCAGAGAGGGTCTGTTGCCCGATCACCGACTTTGTGCTGTCTTCTTTTTTCCTGTGTTAAAGGGGATGATCCTCAATTTCTTCAAATT